AATCAGCGCATCTCTATGAAAAAAATTGGTGGTCGCACCTCCAGGTTTTTTTTGACCTAAGTGATAATCACGATCAATTTTTTCAACCAATCAGATTGTTCCGTAAATCCATCGAGGTAGGCGCTTGAGAACGGCCTTAGTTTCACCTGCAGCTCGATAAGTTAATTCACTATAATTCTTCATATAAACCTTTTGAATGATTAATCCATGATTATTTAAAATCTCTGTATCATTTGTATCGATTTCTAATGATTTATATAAATCTGCACGCAACTCTTCGTATTTACCCATTATTTGATAAACTTCACGATTACTTAATATCGTTGCTCTATTTGATTTTATTTCTAGTATTTTGTTAAAATCTGCGAATGATTCTTCATATTTATTCATCTTTTTAGAAACCATTATTTAATTCCGTTGCATCATCTGGTTCGATTTCTCCACGATTATTTAGTGTTGTTACATTATTTTATTCAAATGATTCCTCATATTTTCTATCTCTTGATAAGTTGATCCATGACCATTTATACCAGTATATAATTTGGTTCGATTCTTAATGCTTAGTTCAAATCTAAGAGATTCTTCATATTTACCCGTTAATTCTACTATATCACTAGGATCAATTTTCAATAATTCAAATTTGAAAGCGGTTCCTCATAACCACCCATCTCAAGATTAATTACTGCACTATAATTTAATGCTGGTTTATAATTTGGTTTGATTTCTAATGCTTTATTTAAATCTTCAAGTGATTCTCTATCATTATCTAACTTATAATAAATACATCACGTTCGGCTAATACTGATACATTATTTGGCTTAACTTCTAGTAGTTTACTCAAATATTTTAGTGATTCCTCGTATTGACCCTTGTGAAAGTTGATTGTTCCACGATTTGTCAATGAAAATGCATCTTCTGGATTGTCATTTCAAATCGTATTTAAAAGTGCAAGTGATTCTTCATATTCATTCTTTTTGCTAATACTTTAGTCGCTTTTTCAAAGACGTCAGCATTGATTTATCTTATTTATTAAAAACTGAGTCAAGTATGTTAGAATTTGAAGGGCAAATCAAACATCCTGTTATATTGATTCAGATACATTTAAAAATGAATCGCTACGTCTATTTAAAATGAATCGCCACCAAATTAGTGCACATTGTTATCAGAATTCATAACAACTGATGAAGTAACGTATACAAGCAACGGAGTGAGAAATAACGTAGTATATGGAGCACAGATTAGGATTTACACTTTCAACAATAATTCCCACAGTTACTTGTAGAGAATTCGGGAAACGATTTATTATAAAATATATAGTCTTGTAGAGGCCTGCATTGGGTCCCGTGGCCCGGGCCGGGCCTGACAAATAAAAATTTGTAAATGCGGACCGGGTCTAACAAATTTTGTAAATGCGGCCGAGCCGAGCAAAAATTTTGAAGTTATACTGTAATTAAAAGTTTTTTTCCCTTGGTGACACTTATATAGTGCAACCTATATTTCCTACGCTATATATATTTAAAAATGTTATTACGTCATATACATAACCCATTTAGATGTGACATCTCGTGTGACGAGTAAAAAAAATTGTGTAACGATCTTTATAACATGAACTTTCTCCCATATCACAATGAACAGTGGCTTATCAAGTTAACCCAACAGACACGCGAACGCGTATTTGATTAAGTCTAGACGAGAGTTTACTAAGGAAGCCACCGTCACGACGTTACTATGCATATTAAACAGGTGTCAATAACAAAATGCTATCTCAAAAATTGCTGCCTTTTGAAGAAGGCAACTTTATTAAAAATTTACCTGTTCGCAGATCATTATTCAGGGATTCAAGTCTTATAAAGATCAAACTATAATAGAACCATTCAGCTCAAGACATAATGTTGTTGGTGCGTTTTATACAGAGTTGGAATTTTCTGTACTTAATAGAAAAATATTTTAATCATTATATATATTTATATAAAATTAGTCGGAAGGAATGGTTCCGGCAAAAGTAATTTTTTCGCCGGTAAGATACCCCGAAGTTTAATAGTTAAATATAACTAAGCATGATCTTAATATTTATTACTTTACTTTCGTTATGAATCTATATCAGCAATTCGATTTGTTTTGAGTGATGCGTACACTAATATGAGTAAGGAGGAACGTTTAGCGCTTCTTCATGTGGGTTATTTTTATTTTCAAGAAATGTCAAATTTGCCTATTAAGACTATTAAATAAAAGATTTGATTAATTTGATAGGAAGGAACAGGGCCGGCCACCATGTCCGCTTATGTGGAAATAATATTTGATAATAGTGATAATCGATTTCCAGTTAGTGATTTTTAATATCAACTGTGCTTACTCGAATGGATTCATGGTTTTTTAATGGAATATTTACTGTCTTTGATTTTTTGAAAATTTAACTTTTACCTATCCTAATGTCATTATTGTTGAATTTATTTCGTAGACGGGTAAAGATGAGGTGGTTCTTATGCGTAGTATCGGCTTAAAAAAGGAAGATTATTCCTTGGATAAAAAAACTGCGACGTATGTTGTATTTATTTAACGTATGAATTGCTTTATCTTTTATAAAATTAATGCTATGTTTCGCTATAGGAAAAATGATGTAATGAATTTACTCGAAAGTGCCGGATTTTCTCGTTCCAATCCTTATTACATTGTCCCACAAGGAAGGGTAAGGGATGATTTTGTAGATATGATACGTTCTACATCATTGAAAGCTATATTTCCACTTCCTATTTTTTATGTAACGAATATATTGTGGTAATTTCATAAAATACTTAGATCACTGCTTTGACGAATGCTAAAGATCCAGAACGATTGCAATTACTAAAAGAAGTTGCTGGCACAAGGGTATATGAACAACGGAGACAAGAGAGCATGAAAATTATCGAAGAAACAGGTTATTTCTTTACTATCCGTCAATGTGAACAAATTAGATAAGTTTATTAAAACATTTATTCGCTCCCTTAAAGATTCTAAAAGATCAAAAATCGAAGAACTTCTCACTTATATTGAAGAACGTCTTGAAGAACTTGAAGAAGAAAAAGAGGAACTGAAAAATTTTCAAGAAATGGATCGTGAAAGACGGTGCTTGGAATATTCAATATTTCATCGTGAACAGACTGATATACTTCGTCAGTTGGCCGAGGTTTGTATTGCATTTGCATTGACACAATATATATAATAGTCTCCTAAATTTAATATTTTTTAATATGACGTCCAAAATTGATAGATGGATGAACAACGGGAAAAAGGTGTCCATGGTTCGAATCAACAAAACATGGAATTCAATGATCTTGAGCAAGAAATTACAGTGAGCTACAGTATTATTTCTAATTGCATCTACGTAACATTAGATTTATATAAATTTTGTCATCATTCAGAACATTGAGCGTGAAATGGCAGAACTCCAAGAAAAAATTGAACTCTTGAGAGTGGAAAAGAGGGAGCTTGATGAAGACATGCAAGAACAGATTAAAGTCCACGCACAAATTGAGTTGGCAATTAAAGATATGGAAGACACCGCACAACAAAATAAAGAAACAAAAGTTTGTGATTTATATTACATTGATTCAAGTCTCTGAACAGTCATAAATAATAATCACAAATTCCAAATCAATAAATAGAAAAGAAGAGAGTTGGAATTACGAAATATAAAAATGAATATAGATCAAAAAGAAGCAGAGCTGGATAGCATAATACCAATTTATGAAAAGGAGGTTGCTGAAGAAGCTACAATAAAGGAAAGGTATTGTATTAAAAGACAGTAGCTATTTGTTATTTTTTCACTTATGCTAATAATGTCTAATGTAGATTGGATGAATCTGAATTGCACCGTCAAGCGCTCTACTCTAAACAAGGGCGTAGTTCACAGTTTCGTTCGAAAGCGGAAAGGGATAAGTGGTTAAGAAAAGAAATAAAAGAGATCGATGACACAATGATTGCACAAAAACAACAGGTATAATGGAATTGATTGAAATCATTTGATTTTATGATAATTATTTTACCTTTACGCTATGCAATTTTTTCTCAGGCTGATGAGCTAGAAAGCCAAATACGAGATATTTCGGAAAGTATAGATAGAGTGAATAATGAAATATACGATACAAGGAATAAGCTAGAACAGCGAAAAACGACTATTGAAGAATTGGGAAATGAATACAATGACTTAAAGTCTCAACGAGATAAATTAATAGACCAGCGAAAGTTTGTATTTTTTTTTTTTTTTGACTTATAAAGTTAACCGTTGTAACCTTTGTTATATTGGTATGGATTATGTTCCTGTATAAATAGGGAATTATGGAAAGAAGATGCGCAATTAGAGACAAAATTGGTCAATGCACGAGAGCAATGGAAAAAATATGAGAGAGCCTTAGCTAGTTCCATGGATAAGGTATTTTTAGTTTCGCCATTTGAATGTTTATTTAATAATATTAAAGTTGATCTGATTAATTTATATTAAAGAAAACCAACAATGGACTGAATTCTGTGAAACGCATCACCGAACAGTTTAGGATTGAAGGTGTTTATGGACCACTTTACGAATTGTTTGAATGTGCAAATAATTCTATGTGGACAGCAGTAGAAGTCACTGCTGGACAAAGGTTTGAAATTATCTGTGATTTTACCTTCGAGAATGTATGAATTGTCCCATATTTTGATTATTTTATATTATTATCACATTGTTGTAGTTTGTTCCATGTAGTTGTTGATACAGATGACACAGCTACTAGAATTTTAGATGCTCTCAATCGTGAACAAAATGGGCGTGTAACCTTTGTGCCGTTAAATCGTTTGAGAACTAAGAATTATGAATACCCTGAATCTGAAGATTTTTTACCCATGGTCAATGTTGTCGAATTTGATAAAGCGTATACAAAAGCAATAGTACAAGTAATAAACAAATTTCCTTAGGATTATATTAGATTCTGATAACCACTTTAATTATTAAATGCTCTTTTCTCTACGGTAAATGAATTGCGAATAAAAACATTTGAACAGGTGTTTGGTCGTACTATAATTTGCAATGACTTGGAAACGGCATCTAAGTTATCTCGAGAATACGATTTGAATGGCATTACATTGGATGGTTTGTGTAGTTTTGGTTTAAATTATAATATGACATAATTACCATTCTTATTATTATCATATATCAAATACTTACCGGATAGATTTCATTTAGGTGATCAAGTTGACAGAAAAGGTGTGCTTACCGGTGGATATCATGATGTTCGTCGCAGGAGGCTAGAAGCAGCAACAAATATGAAAAAATGGAGAAAAGAATACACAGACCTGGAACAGCGATCCAGAGTAGTGAAAAGCGAAATAGCTCATATCCTTTTTGAATGAAATCAATTTTACATTATTATAAATCACTTGTTACCTTTCACTTATTTTATTATTATACGTCTAGATCAACAAATCACACAAAAATTGAATGCAATACAGAATGTTGAGGCTAAAAGACGACAAGCTCAAGATAGTCGCGATCCTCTTATGTTCGAATTGAATTCAAAAATAAAGGAGGAGGCAAATTTGAGAGAGTCAAAAAGCAACAAAGTAACTTTTGGCTTAAAAATTTCAATATTTTAATGCATTTGCAAGCAGTTGCTAATATAAATTTCAACAGGAAAAATCATTGTTGAATATTCAAAGCAGTATTAAGATGTTAAATGCACAAAAGCAAGCTCATCAAGCAGAAATGAGTACTGAACTAGCCCAAAATCTAACTCTACAAGAGCAACAGCGACTTGAAAGGTTGAATGTTGAAGTTGAGCAGTTGAGTGAAAAATTATACAAGCTGTCGACATCAAGATCTGAGGTTCGTAAAGGATCGCATTCATTTATGATAATAAGTCTCATTCAAGTCTTATATCGATTTTGCGAACTCAGCTTGAGGGACGGAAAAATGTATTGGAGAATGAATTGGATGCGAATTTGAAAAGGCGCTACGAAGAGTTATTAATTCAAATTGATAGCCTAACTACAAGCGAAGATGATCAAATCCGCAACAGCAAAAATGAAGCCGAGGAACTCATTAACGAAATGTCTAATCGGTCGAAAGGTAAATATTTTTTGGTCCAATGACTACTGAATTTTGGCCCGAATTAAGCTTAATTTAGGCCAAAATTCGAAATTACACACCTTACGCGTGATTACGCGAAAATACGGTATAACAATAAAATTTGACATTCTGAATATATTATATAGAAATCGAGATAGAATTGCAAGACCTCTCGACGGAGCTAAGTCAGAAGACTTCTAAATCCGAAGCATTAAAAGTTAGTTATCTCTCTGTATATCTGTAAATCAAATGTTGTACAGGTTTTTTTTTACTTAGTTAACTTTTGTTAGACTGAACAAAGCAATCGGCAGCAAAAGTTGGAGCGGCAGCAAAAGAATGTCGACAAATTTCTTTCAAAAAGGAAATTATTGTTACAGAAGAAGGATGAATGCACTAAAAATATTCGTGAACTTGGTGCACTACCAGAGGAGGCGTTTGAAAAGCATAAAAATACAGACCCTACAAAGGTGCGTTTAATTTCGTAATTTAGAATGAATGATACAATGTTAACTTTTGTTGCCGTTTTCTTTTTTTTTTTTTTTTTTTTTTAGCTTCTGAAACAATTGCATAAAGTAAATGAGGGGTTGAAAAAGTACAGTCATGTTAACAAGAAAGCATTTGAGCAATATAACAATTTCACCAAGCAGAGAGACACACTTACGAAAAGAAAGGACGAATTAGATCAATCAAAGAGGGTAGTTACTATATTACATATCTATTTGTCATATATTAGCCATTAATCACTTTTTCAATTAGGCTATAAATGATCTAATAACCGTATTAGATCAGCGTAAGGATGAAGCAATTGAACGTACTTTCAAACAGGTAGCGAAGTATTTTGCCGAAATATTTGAAAAACTGGTACCTGCCGGACGAGGGCAATTAATAATGCAAAAAAGAAATGCCAAGGTAGTGTATTTATTTGTATTTATATACACATATATAGATTATACGGATATTGTTAAGCTCTCATTGAATTTTATATGCAATATTTGGGTGCCACCAAGTGAAAACTAGGAAGTCTAAAATAGAATTCTTTGTATAACTAAATACGGGTTTTTAACCGATCTGATTAGAATATTTAATTGTATTTTATTTATTTATTGACAATATATATTTATCAAATTTGTCGTTCAGGAACAAATGGAAGATGTCGATGAACGGGAAGAACGTGAAGGTGGATCTGTAGATAGCTATACTGGTGTTGCAATCAAGGTACAATACTGACTTACCTATCAAAACATTCCAAACTAAACTTCCTGTATATAATTCTGTCTATACATCATTTTTGGCATTCAAGGTCTCGTTTAACAGTAAAACAGACGAAGGCCTTCGTATGCAACAACTGTCTGGTGGACAAAAATCTTTGGTTGCGCTCACCCTAATATTTGCAATACAACGATGCGATCCAGCGCCTTTTTATTTATTTGATGAGATTGATGCTGCGCTTGACGCACAATATCGTACTGCTGTTGCATGTATGTAATTATACTATCTATACGTCATTGATTTTATTTATCTAAAAAATAATTTTTTTCCTCAATAGCGATGATCCATGAATTGAGTGAAAATGGGCAATTTATTACCACAACTTTCCGCCCGGAGATGCTTACAAATGCCGACAAATTTTATGGTGTAACATTTTCAAATAAAGTTTCACGTATTAGTGTTATAACTAAGGAGGATGCTCTTAATTTTATCACACAGGTAAGAGTTGATAATTTACATCTCGAATTATCTATTATAAATAATTCTTATTCATTTGTGTTATAATAGGTAGAGACGATCAGTTAGGGAATGATCGTAAAAATTTTTTTGAGTATGGTCGGTCGATAACGATAAATGATCGATTATTAAATAGCCACGCCTCATCATTCATTATTCATATTACGTTATTCGTGCGACTCATAAATTTAAATGCAAATAGCTTTTATGCTCAGACTAGTTAACACGAATAAAATTAAATAGTTTTAAGAATTTCTACAAAATCCAAATAACTTACAATAATAATATTTGTCTTATTATTTTCCATTGCTAATTTTGTAGCAATTGATGTCATACTTGAAGTTAACACCTGCACCTGACGTTGCTTGTAGTGTTATGAAATTTCTCGTAATAGAAATAAATACCAATTTGCTTAAAAATTGGAAAGGTAGTCCTGCAATTATATAAAGCACGGAATAAGAAGATATCTAAATACAAAAATGTACAATTGTAAACATATTTGATTGAAATTTAATACGTAATATTTTTTTACTTGAGTTTTGTTAAGCAGGCATCTGTATTTGTAGTTCTTTAGATTTACATGACCTAGAGACTTATCTTGTATTTGTATTGCCAAATACTGATTTGTATCCTCTTGTATAATATTACTATTATACAAATACTTCAGACCTTTAGTCTTGCTAGTACAACCATAGTTACAGATATTTATTTCAACTAATCAACCAAATATTGTTAGCTATAATGTAAACAAAATTTTTAAATTTTTATTGTTAGTAGAATTTAAACTTTTGATATACTGCTTGAGGGTAACAACTTGACTATTTTACTATTTTTTATTTTTTTTTAACTTGGCTAGAAAAGCCAGTAATGCTTTATTAGATCTAGTTAATTACATATATAATTTTTGAACTACAGTATTTTACAATCTATAACTAGGTTATATTAACTCAACACAGTGATCTAACATTTATTTGGTTGCTTTAATAAGTGTCCAAATATATTCTAGTTGCATCACTAGTATGCTATGACCAAAACCAACACTAGCAGTTAGAGTAACTACTACTTTAGAAAGACATTGTCTTAAATTGTCTATTAGTGAGAAGAATTAAACCTATATTCAATATTATTTCTGCATTTTAAAACTACTATATCTAGTTAGACTATATTTCCTATATTATTCACCTTTTCATTCTGTACAACTTCCAAATTGGTAACATTCAGATTATAAATCTTTATAATCTTTTAGTTTGGTATACCATATTTTATTTTTTCTTTTAAGGTATTTCAATATTAATATAGAATTTGCAAAAATTTATATTTCAAGTTAGAAACTGTTATTTAGTTAGGTTTATTATATGAGTGCTGCAGAGCAAAAAGCTGAAAGTAAATATTTTAAGTTTTCACTATAGTGAGTTTAGCCTTTAATAAATTGCAACATTATATATTGAAAATCAGTATTTTGATAATTTTAGTAATATGTGTAATTCATTCAAAAAAATCAATAATCAAAACTCTTTTCGCTGATCATCAAAACACAAATTTTTCGAAACACAAAATTATTAAAAACTACAAAAGATACAAAAAGCTACTAGGAAACAAATCTCAGAGCTCTAAAAAAGAAGAAGAGAACTACAAGAAACATTCAGTCTCTTAGAAGACTTGAGTAAAAGGAACAGAAGTAGCAAAGAAATAAAAGAAGTTGTGAAAAATTGGCAATATTTTTTTGCACTTTGCGAATTTTTTGTGAATCAGCCTTGATCCTGAATTGCAGATCTGTTTTGATAGTACAAGAATTACAACATGTAATGAAAAATAAACAAAGGAATTATACCAAAAATCATGTGACAAAACTAAGCAATGGAGGTAAACAATCGCAACAAGTAGCAACAACAAACAACAATAACCAAAAAACAACAAGTCACGTGAAGCAGAAGTCAGTACAAGTTGCTGAAAAAAGACCTGTTACAAAAAAAGAGTTATTAGAAGCTATCAAGAACATAACAGCAATAACTAACGAAATGATAAACATGCAAGTAGAACAGACAATGATAGAATATACTAGACAACAACTCCTCCCAGAAGAAGTAACTGAAGCACAAATAGAAAAACTTTTCGAAGAATTTCAATGGTATAACAGAGAAGAATTAGAGTATACTGAACTTGCACTTATAGAAAGAGACCATGAATGTTTTCATAAAGCAATACAAAAAAGAGAAGACTCAGTTGTTAAAATTATAAAAGAAAAGATAGTCAGTATTATGGTAGAATTAAGGATGGGCGACAGATTAAGAAAATTACTAGAAGATAGAGAAAGACAAGATGCTGAAATAAGGTTAAAATTAGAATTAGGATGGAGGAATAAACTTCAAAAACAAAGAAAAAATCGACAAAAACAGCATAATAAAACAGCTCTGAAGTCTATAATACAACAATTCAAAAAATCTGTCAAGACTATCGCAGCAAATTAACAAGAAATTAAAAAAAAGCCAAAAAAGAAAAGAAGAAGATGCAAATTCAACAAAAGAAAAAGCAAGCTGCTGAAATAAAGTCAAAGTTAAATCTAGATTGGAGTAAAAGACTTCAAGAACAA